CCTTACCAGTTCCTCCTCATGTGACGGCTCACTCTACCCACAGTGCTGCTACAACTGCGGCGTGGGCAACACAGGCATCCATTGAGGACATATGCAGGGCGGCGACATGGTCGTCGCCATCTCCATTCATTAGACATTACCGTTTAGACAAGTTTGCTTCGGCTGAGGCCGCCTTTGGTAGACGTATCCTACAACAAGTAGTCACACCATCTGGGGGCCCGGCCCCTACTGACTCCCACCCTTAGGGACTCGAGAAGCTTTGGTACGTCCCATTGGTGGATTCTTCTTAATCATGCTGGAGAAGGAGCATTGGCTTACCTGAACGCCTTTTCTCAGCATGATGAAGAAGAATCCACGCCCTCCCTAAGTAGAAGTCAGTCAGGTCCGGGTGGGATGGTTGTTCTGTTAGTTGTCGTTACTACCTGCTTGAGAGTCATCACGTCGTACTGTTGTCAATGGCTTCGCCCATCGATGAAAACTGGGGAGGTCCCCAGATAATGAGGAGGCGTGACAACTTGACAACTTGGTCTGATTGGGCAGTAGGACTAAGATAACCCATTGGTGGATTCTTCTTCATCATGCTGAGAAAAGGCGTTCAGGTAAGCCAACGCTCCTTTTACTGACAGAATGCAATTCATTTTTGATATTAGCCATAGTCATAGGGTATAATTGTGCAAGGCAATCTTCCCTAGCCTGCTGTTCCCTAAATCAGAAGAATGCAACTTCTTTCACACCATGATCATCTTTACTGGTGTGTGGAGGAGACACTCCCCCCCCCCAAAAAAAACCTGGTTTTGCATTAGGAGTTATGGAAGTTTGGACTTATGGATATCTATTTTTTTCCAAAATCTTTATTGATGTTTTCCCCCTACCAGTACTCTTCAGCTTATGACCACAATTGGGACTAGAAGTTGTTGCAGTTGTAAACTGAGTCAGAACCAATTTTATGTCAATTTTTACAGAGGTCATTAAGCAAATCACATAGTTGTTAAGCAAATCCCACTTCCCGGTGGACAGTTGTTGCCAGAAATTGACAAAAAGTGTCATAAATCACAATCATGTCATTGCAGGACATTGCCAGTTGCCAAGCACCTGTCTCACCTTGTGGTCGTGTAACTGTAGAGATGGTATGACAGTCATTAAGTGCAAGTACAGGTCATAAATCACTTTTTGCAAGACCATTGTAACTTTGAACCATTGTTAAATGAACAGTCATAAGTTGAGGATTACACATATAGTATATTCTTCTCAGGATTAGCTATTCAAAAATAAAAAATAAACTTTCCATTGGAGTCACTCATTCACCATACAGTAATACAAACCAAGAAATACAGGGAACACATTTTTTATGGCTACCAAATGGAATATTTCATTCTGATTTCAACATTTCTTAATGTCAATTTAACAGGGAGACACTAATCAAATATATCTAATGAAATACATTACAATATTACAAAGTCTGCATGCAAAATTCAAAATTCTGATGATCAACTAAAGTGCTACATAGTTTGAAGTCTAGCTATCTCTGAGATGGCCTGTTTCAAATGGTAGATTGCCCAAGGCATGCAGGCATAGACACTGGCTAAGAGTTCCCATTCCTTGCAAGGTGCTCCCCTGTTATGGGATGTCTCATACCAGGTATAAAAATTCTATCCCCAGTATTGTAAAACTGAGGAAGCTTTTTTAAAAATAGCATTTTTAACATGCATTTGGAGACTGAAATGAGAATGAATATAGGTAGCTCATGTGTGATGAATTTTTATCATTTGATGACATCTTGTACTACAGTTTTATGATATTATTATATTTAAGTATATTTATTTTAGATATACTGATAACTTTGGGTAATTTTTGGATTATTGTATTATATCTTTGTAGGTTGTTGCTTAGACTTAGAAACAAGTGGTTAAAATAACATGAAAGCACTCATAATAAATCATAAAGCATGAACCAAATAATTAATATGTTAGCATCAGAAAATAGTAATTTAGCTCATATTCTCTGGACATTTGTGAACCACTGGATCCTATTCAGAATTACCAATATTTGTTAATGAAATTGACTTACTTGTGCTATCCACCCTTTAAGTCTCAGCAGTACTGTATAATTCTAACAGTTCTAAGAACAGCTTCCTCAAAAGGTGACCCTCCAATGGGTTACAACTGGAATTGTGAACCTTCCCAATCAGTAACTGGAGTGCATAGGTTATGAAAGCGCAATCTGGAGGCCCTGATTTCAGGAAAACTGAAATGAATTTTCCAAACAAAGCTGAAAGGTCCTATTACTTAGCAGACAAACTTTTCAAATAAACTTGGAATTCAATAGTTATCATAGATTTTCACTATTCAGACTGAATGTGCTGTGAATCAGGTAATTCAAAACATAATATTGTGTTAAATTAAGACCAAGGGGCACTTCCATTGCAGAAGCAGTTTGTGCTCAAGAAAATGTAATCATGTAATACCATTTCCATTAGTGCCCCAAATTAATAGAACTCCTGCCATCCTTAGCCAATGCAGAAAATGGCAATCTAGTACAACTGGGGGGCATGAAGTTAAGGAAGATTAGAATCAGTTCTAATATATTATGACATTGTTACTTGCCATTTTATCATATGCATTCCTACATTTTTGGGTAAACTTTTTATTTAATCATCAAGTTTGCTACCATAACTTGCTAAAATATGTTTTTCTGGAACTTAAATTCCACTGACTACACCAATCCTAATTCTTTTGCAGACTTTCATGGTGGTAAATTATTGAACTGCATTTCATAGCTCTCCTATTAGCAAATCAGGTAAGATATTCTCCAAGTTTTATCAAACTGGCATAAAAACCAGATGTCCCAGAAGTGTTGAAAATTTGAAGCCCCTCTCCTTAAAAAAAAAAGGGGGGGGTGGTTTCAATCCCAACCATTCCTGATTCTGCACCTACCAGATTAGCAGCAGGACCAACGTGCACACACCGCTTTTCTTAACTATTAATTTCTAAGAACCGCGAGAAGACACAAGCGATACCTTATCAGGAAATTCTGGCAGCCAGGCAAGCTCACCTACAAAGCGCCCGAAGAAATCATCCTCTCCGGTCAAGGTTGCCTAAAATGGTCTGTATTGAAGGGACTATCCCCTTCTGCCAACCTCTACAATCTTCGCATGGTTTTTTGGCCGCTACTGCTGCAACCACTGCTACTAGCAAGCTGACTCAGACTGCCAGCCGCCGAAGTTCTTTACAAGCAACCCGCGTTTTCAAGCTTCCTCCTACCGCTTCTACCCTTTTTGTTCCCTCCTCTACAGTCATTCCTGAATCATCCAGGATCCTATTTCAATAAAAAAAGAGGTTTATCTACTTCCGTATTCTTTTCTCCGAGCTTTACACGCTCTGTCCCTCCCACCCCAGTCTGTCTCTGGAAAACAGATAGGATCCGTTGGAAATATTCTCCCTCGCGCCAATTCAATCATAAAGAATCAAAGCACCGCCTCGTATTTAAGCTAGCAGGCAGGCCATCCACCTCTCCTAAGTAAGTCCACGATCCAGTGCGGAATAGTTCAGAATTACTATCTTCAGCCCCTGCGATCGCCAGAAACAAGAATAGGTGGTATTCTCCATATCAGTTCTTAAATTGGGAGTAATTAAACAAGGTAATTTGGGCATATCCTGGCGATAGTGGAGCAATTTGTAATTGCTTGGTTTTGAGTCCAGGATCCAGTTGGATCCCGCGTGTAAAACAGCAAAGTACATCCGGGATGGGGGAAGCAGGGGTTATGACATTATTCGAGACCAGGAAAATGGGTAACTGGGTCAGTTGAAGAATCACTGCTCTATATTCTCAAGAAGCGATTTTTTAATGCACCATTTGCTACACGATCGATCCTCATTTTACCCTCCAGGATTCCCCTCTCCAGCTTTATCGACTCCTGCTAAATCCAGGCCTCCTCACGTGTAGAGCAGAGCGCCTCGAATCTCAGTGCGCATGCGTGCATGTTTTCCTTCACCCTAGGCAAAAGGTAAGGTGTGTTCCTGGAAAAGAACGTCGCCCAGATCTGCGAAGCTCTCTTCTGATTTAGAAGCTCCACCTCTTAAAAACTGGCAGCTTACTCAATAGAGGGGAAAACCACTTTGCACCCGCTTATAGACCGTCTCCTTTTTATGTTATTACCACTTCCCATGTTCCGGGAAGGATCCCTGGCAAATAACAAAAAAAAAAGCACGTTTAGGGCTGAGTCCTGCTGCGTCCAGGCACATCTCCAAAAGCAGCAGCACCACCGCCAAAAAAAATCCAGCCGCTCATTTCCTCAACAACCATCAGCCACGCATCATCAAGCACTCATCCAAATCAACAGCAACGATCGTTCAAAATGAAATTCCTCTACCTCACTAAAATTCACTAAATGACTTGATGGCTGGATTCGCAGGACACCTTAACTAGGTAACTCCTACTTGCATTAACGAACAATGTCATATCGTTAAATAGGTTAAATAGACGAGTAACTGATAGGTATTTCGTGCGAGCATAATCACTGTTTAATTTCTGGTGCTAAAATATTTTATGCATTTAATAACGAGTCTATCAAACGCAACATTAAGAATCAGCATTCCCAAACAAGTCACGCCCCCGATAATAGGTTGTACACTTGAACCCAATATCGTAAGCAGGAATGAAGTCAGCACATGCTCAGGGGCACTCCCCTTTCCTATCATTACCTCAAACCACCTGCAATCGAAAGAGGGGGGAGGGAATAAAGGTTAAACGTCCATCAAGCACTCTTTCAAAAGCAACCCACTACAGTACTACAAAAACTAGCCGGTTTACAGAGATGAGCTCAGGACTACGGTCCAACTAGTCACGTCTACCCAGGAGATACTTCTGCAGAAGGTAGCACAGGATCGGGCAGTTCAAAGCTCCCCAGCTAATGGCTGGTGCATTGCAGCGGCCGCTTTGTGCCTGGATCCCTTTTCTCTCCGTAGCGTAAGCAGCCCGCGGGGATCTTTAGCATGACATACCTTCCCTGCTGAAGGCGAGGGCACAGCTGTTCAGCGGCCGGATCCTTAGCATCTGGCTTCCTCGTTCACTGTCCCACCAACGGCCCGGGCTGCGGGAGCCACACGCTTCTCCTTTCCCTTCTGTAACTTAACCACCTGGTGGGAGGACGCCGAGACGCCCCCGGCGCCGCCTGCGAGGGAGCCTCTCGCACTGGCTGTGACAGGGCTTAGGCGAGTTTCTCTCCCGCTCTTGTGGCGGCTCCCAGCGGCTCGCAGCTCTTGCGGCGGCTCCGAAGGCTTTGAGCCCCTCCCTTCCCGTCCGATCCTCCTGACCTGCTTGTGACTCACTAGGACACGAGTGGAGTTTTGTGTGTGTGGTGTGCGTCGGGTGCGGGAACGCTGGCAAACGAACGCGTCTTTCTGTTCGTGGGGGCCAACTACAACAGACGGAGAATCCACTCTACCCCTTCCCCCTTCGTCGCCAAAAGCAACAGAGGCGCCAAGGGTCTCTTCCCGTTCCCGCCAATATTGCCCCACTTTTCCTCTTCTCTTCCCACGCACGCAGCCGACTTCAGGTGATTTCCTCCTGCTGCCAGGGAAGGAAGAGTCTTTGGAGGCAGCGCGGGAGCGAAAACGCTCGGCTGAGTGGAAGAAGAAAAGCTTATACTTTCCCAGGAGTTACAGAGCGCAGAGACAAAGGCGCAGAAGGAAAAGAGCTTCGTTTAGCTATTGTTAGCCAACCCTCCATTGTCCTGAGGGAGGCGGCCGGCGACTAACTACACGGATTACTAAGCAACTGAAAGAAATGCTTCTTCGCTCAAGTGACAGATTTCTTATGGCAGAGGGAAGGCAGTTTCCCTTCAGGAAGTTGGATTTCACTGCTCTTTGTGTAGCTGTATGGATACCTGTAGAGAAGATTTGGTCAACAAGACTTAAAGTTGATATTACTTCTCTCTTCTGTGACTTTAAAGGACAAATAATAGCTGCAGCCCCCACCCCCATCATAAAAGATAAGGGACATGGCACTGGCTGAGCTTCCCGTGTTAATGTGTGGCAACTAAATTTGTGGTGAGGATCTGAAAAACTAGCAAGAAGTTGCAGCATAAGTTTTCATGGAGGAATGCTTCATCAAAATAATGGTTGCAGATTTCTGCAACATGGTCCCTTCCAGCTGTTTTGGACTTAAACCCTCATTTCTCATCATGGGGCTTTTTGTTGACTCAAGTTTATCGCTGTTGAATTCAAATATATTTAGATAGTAGCACACTGGGAAAGGCTGCTGCAGTTCATGAAAACCAATGGAACAATAAATCCATTCAAAATGCCATCAGTGCTCTCTGTTGTCATATTTGTGCCTCAGTGCCTGAAACTTAACACTCCACACCAGACATCATCTGAGTCTTACATTTTTTAAGATTACCTTTTTCTAGAGGACTTGACAGCCTATTCTGCATAGAGCAGTGGTTCTCAACCTGTGGGTCGCGACCCCATTTGAGATCCAATAACCATTTCACAGGGGTCGCCAAACAACGCAGTTTGCCATTTTTTCCCCCTTTTCCTTAGCTGTGCTATTCCCTCTTATTCTATTGGCTTTTGAAAGCCAATAGAATAGACTCTATTCAAGAGACTCTATTCTATTGGCGTTCGAAAGCCAATAGGAATTGTCCAGGCTGTCTCTGCCCTGCTGATCCCGCCAAAAGTCCCAGTCTGCAAATGGTACTGCAAGTTGTCTGCAGCTAAGATGGGCTTTCTGGACATTTCCACCCCTCCCTGCTGAGCAACTACTAAATGTAAGTAAAAGAGGGCCAGAGGTGGGAGGCCGGCAGGCTCAAGGAGGGTTGCTGGCATGTGTGGCGCCCGGCGGGTGCCTTACCTCCCTTGGGCTGGGCCAGCTGGTGGCCCAGCCGGTGGTCACCCTGCGCCTTCACTGCTGCATGCCATGGTCACCCAGGAGCGCCTGGGCCTGCCTGCCACTGCCCCGAATGTGCGGTGGCCAAGGTAGGGCTAGCAGGGCAGCGGCAGGTGCAGGGAGGGTTGCTGGCACATGTGGGGCCCGGCGGGTGCCTTACCTCCCTTGGGCTGGGCCAGCTGGTGGCCCAGCCAGTGGTCACCCTGCGCCCTCGCTGCCGCATGCCATGGCCACCAGGAGCGCCTGGGCCTGCCTGCCACCGCACCGAACGTGCGGTGGCCAAGGTAGGGCTAGTAGGGCAGCAGCGGGCGCAAGGAAGGTTGCTGGCTTGTGTGGGGCCTGGCAGGTGGCTTACCTCCCTTGGGCTGGGCCAGCTGGTGGCCCAGCCAGTGGTCGGCCTGCGCCGTCGCTGCCACTTGCCAGCTACACCTCAGCTGGCGCAGGGGGCGGCACCACACATGCGCGGCACTCCCGGGCCAAGGCGGTTGCTGGGCGATGGCCTGCATACACCCTCGGCCTGCCCAGTGTGTGCTCCAGCCACAGGAGAGGAGGTGGAGCGTGCGCACCTCCTCTTGCCCTGCCCACAGGGAAATACAGGTAGTCCTCGACTTACGACCACATGGTTGGCGGTCATGGCATTAGGAAGGTTGAGAACCACTGGCATAGAGACTCCTGAAATACAAAAATTGGACTCAATAAGTTGCATCTCACCATCCACTGAATCTTTGTCCACAAATCAATTTCTACCTTAATAAATGTCTTCACAATAAGCCAAAAATAAAATAAAATATATCAGTTCTCAGCAGGTTTAGGCTAAAATGATACTGGCTAGTTTGTGATGGTATGTGTTGCACAAACTCAGCCAGTATGATTATTTTATGGCTGAGTATTCTGCAAGTCCAGGTAATTGAAGTTAATGGAGTGAAACATAGTTCTGTTCCCTATGAGTTAGTATGGCATGTAAACACAGCCTTTATTATTTTCAAATATGAGTATGTATCAGCTGAGTGTGACTACACTTTTAAAAGTACCTCTTTGACCTTTAGATTGGAAGAAGTCAGATCATGGGTTTAGTGCTGCTCTCAATAGGCACATAGGAAATAAAAAGAACAACTAATGTTACTAATTTTTATAAACACCACTATATTTAATATCAATTGATGTTTCTTTCCTGGAGAGAGCATTAAACAATGCAAGCTGTTTTCCGACTAATGCAGTATAATCGAGCAAGTGCACGTAGATTAATTGATTATGGGGGTAAGTCAGTTTATATTCAAAACAGTTGATAAATTACAGTTTTAGTGGCAGATTTTTTTTAAAAAATGCAGTTTAGAATAATATATTAATATCTTCAGAGAGATGAAATTATTTGATGTTCACATTTTGTATTGCCATTATCAGGATAAAATGTGTAGAATCAAAATATATTATGGCAATAGAAATAATGATTTCTGCCTGCATCTTCACTCCTAAGTCAGTTTTTCAATTAACCATATGCGTGTGTCTTTTGACACTTGAACCTGCATAAAACAAAGGCAGAAAACTAGCTTTCAGGGAATATGAGTAAATGTTTTGTTTGCTAATGTTTTGTTTAAAAAAGCATAAAATGTTGGTGAAACCTCATAAGTTTTTCAAACAGAAGATACTATAAAATATAATGTGCCTATCCTCCATTTAAACATAAATGGATATATTTTGCTTTTCTTCTCAGTGCTGATCTACTGAGATAATGCAATAGACCTCTGAGAAAATTCAATCTGTATTCTCTCTGTTGTGACTGTCAGAGGTGAACATCTTTCCCTGGAGACTCAGATTTAAATCACCACATTAACAGCATCAAATTACCATCTATTTGTGGCTATATGAAAGGAGTAAAATACATATGTAAGGATTTGCATCAAATAGATCTCCCAAGAAAGCAGAACTCTTGAAACAGGCATTGTTTCAAAAGGAACTTTTATTGAGATTTAGTAATAGCAATAGAGCAAAGCAAGGTCTGAAGAATTTGTGCATGAAAGGTTACATTATAATGCCCATTCAGGACTCCTCCCAAACCGTCTGGTTGAAATCCACCCAATCCATAAGTGCTAGATTGTTTTGAGAACTTGGTGATTTAACGCCCATCTCAAGGTCTCTCTCGCTTTCATTTCTCAATGGTCCCAGTAGCCGTTGTCTGGAGATAAGGCAGATGTTTTTAAGCCACATTCCTTTCTCACGAAGGGAGGACGTTTCAAAGAGGACAGAGCACTAGGCAAATACATTTCCCAAGCAAGCAGCCTCCCTCCCACCAGAATGGCAGACCCTGAAAATGAATACACAGGCAAAGCATTAATAAGTAGGCAAATACATTGGAGGGGTCTGACATATGGCCCCCCAATAAAACAACAAATCCATCTGCAAAACAGCAATAGAGAAGGAAGAGAGAGGAAAAACAAACATATCAATCAAGTTTATCAGGATAGCGTGCATGAAAGTGCTTGAGCAACCTAGGGGCTCTAACATGTTTCTTATAACCCACTTGTTCTCCGAGGCAGGAAGATCTTTCCAGACAAATATTGGGTAGAACCATGACACTTGCAAGAGTCTAAAATGTTCTTGATCTCAAAATGCTGCTCACCCTCCACCTTAATAGAGACGTGACCTCAGGTTTCAGCAGACTGCAGTGGAACACTAGATGGATTTGTTGTAAACTCTTAGGGAGTTCTAATTCCACTGTGACAGGGTTTATAAAGTGCATAATAGGGAAAAGGTGGATATACTTTGGTCCTAATTTCTTGGATGGTTGCAGCGATTGCAAAAACCTGGTGGAAAAGTAAAGTAAACTCTATCCCCCACTTGGAAAGTCTTTGCTTCCATACATTTTTTATCTGCCTGTGCCTTATATGCCACCCTGGCTTCATCTAGAGCTTTCCTAATAACTGGCCAAATGTTCTGCAACTGATGAACCCGTTCCTTAAGGGATGGAACAGCAGGTTTGCTAGCAGGCAACTCAGGCATACTGATGAAAATCTGCCCATTAGCCACTTGAAAAGGAGTGGAACTAGTACTGGAGTGCACTGCATTATTATAGGCCACTTCAGCAAACGATAACAGATCAGTCCAATTAACTTGTTGATAATTGATAAAACAATTAAGATATTGTTCTAGAATAGAGTTTGTTCATTCTATCCCCCCATTTGTTTGAGGATAATGACTATATTGCCCTGACCTGAACCCAGAAGATCCAGAAAGGCTTTCCAGAACTTGGAGGTGAATTGGATGCCCCTATCCAATATTATGCACTGTGGAGCTTCATGCAGGCAATAAATATGCTGCACAAACAATTTAGCCAAAGTCTTTGCAGTTGGAATCTTCTGACATGGGATAAAATGGGTCTATTTGGAGAATAAATCAGTAACAACCCAGATGACAGTGTTTCCTGCGCTCTTGGGTAGCTCCACAATAAAGTCCATAGAGATCTCTTTCCAGGGTGCTGAACGGCTCGCTACCAGCTGTAGGAATCCGGGCATTTTTCCTTGCCCCCATTTAGCTGTTGTGCAGGTATGGCAGCTAGCCACATAATTTTCAATGTCCTTTTTTAAAGAGCGCCACTAAAATTGTCTTTTAAGCAAGTGAAGTGTCCCACTAGTTTAGAGAAAGTCATGGAATGCTTGCATGATCTTCAGTCTCTGGTTGATGGGAACATATAATTTCCCACCGACCCAAGCTATATCCAACAGAGATTTTTATGGCTCTGAAACCATTCATCACTCTCCAGCACCTTTTTAAACTCCCCAACCATTGTGTAGTCTAATGGCAGGGTGCCTTTAGACTGTGCCCTCATAGTGACCAGGGCCGCCAATTGATGTGGAAAGGCTTAACAACCCCCAACTTCACACTATTGTATTGTGGTATTCTTGACAATGTGTCTACCAGTAAATTTTTTTCCCCTGGTAGATAATGGATGGAGAAGTTAAATTGGTGGAAATGCTGGCCCAGCATGCCTGTTTCGGAGACAATTTCCTGAGGGTTTTTAGTGCTTCCAGATTCTTATGATCAGTCCAAACCCTTCCAAAAAATGTCTCCAAGTAAGGAAGGCCCACCGCACGTATAAACTTCCTTCTCCCAAGCAGCCCATTGCTGTGCTGCGTCAGTCAGTTTCTTGGAGGTTGCAACTGACCCTCCTGGTTCTTTTGAACATCGCTGGCATCACCCTGAATTGCAATTTCTCTGGGTCCAGGTGTTTCAATACCGGCTCCGTGGAAAAAAGTCTCTTAAGTTTTTCAAATATGGCTTGGCATTCTGCAGTCCGTTTTAATAGCTGGCTAGGCTTTGGCTTATTTTCTCCCTTCACCTTCAGCAGATTTGTAATGGGGAGCGCAATCTGCGCAAATGAGGGGATGAATTGTTTGT